TCTTTACACTTTTCTTTCAGCGTATCTGATTGGAGATCAGTAATTTCCGTTTGAAACTGACTTTAGAGTGTTTCAACACTGCAGTTATTATGAACACAGGTAATGAATGGCCTGTGAGACCTGGACATAATGAGAATTGGAGCAAACAAACTCACCAGTAGATTATAATGTATATTTTTCCTTCACCCACTATATACAGATATGTATAGTATGTACAATATGTACAGATGGAATGATAAGTGCACACCACGGTGACAGATATCAAAGTAGAAGCCAGAGAGTGCACCGTACTCAACCAGCAGGTAGGCAAGTCTGCCAATGCTTACCACAAGTGAACCAATTTGCTTCAGCTTTGGCGGGCTTACCTGTGATTGGTCAATGAACCAAGGTACTGATTTAACGACAGGTGCCCTATTGATCGTTAAACCCTGAGAATCCGGTTTGCTGGTTGGGAGGCAGCCTATATGGGAGTGTGACATACGCCGAATGAATTGTAACATACTCTTTGCATGCCACTGCAGTCAAATGCATTTTGAAACAGCTTTATTTCATATTTTTCCATCAAGATCAGAAAATCATTTCTGAAATTTTTTTGCAAGCCGTTGATGATTTCTGTTGCATATGTCGAAGGAAATTCTGCATCACTTTCTTCATGAATTTTTTCACATGGGAAATGAACCAAGTTAGAAACCTTCAATTGTCCTTCAAATAGCATCAATTTTGCCCTGAATGCTTTGACATGCATGAATAGATCACAAATCAAATTTGTTTCACCAACTGCAACTTGATTCATACGGCTTGACACATCTGCAACAAAAATGACAGTTTACAAAGTCAGTCAATGTTGGATAAAAGTGGTTCGGGTCGATTCTTCTTTGTGAGAAATGAATTAGTTTCCTTTTTGAGCTGAAAGAACCGTAACAGAACCTTCAAACAACTGCTGTATAATAAGGCAAGTCAAGTCAAGTCAACGAACTCAGAATCAGTTTCTTTCAGAAAATCACGAAACTGGCAATAATTAAGCACGTGAGATCGAATGAAATTCACTGTTGAACCACATGTCAAAACGTAAGACATCCGCACAATGCTTGATGATGGATAACACAATACAGAAACCTGGGCTTTGAGAATCCACCATCCTCACAAACTTTTGTGATGTGTCCATCCAAACCTTTCTTCGCCTCAGACATATTTTTCCTCCAGTTGTCACATATTGTAGTTTATTCTACACCAGGTTATATTCTAACACAGTTTTTTTTTTTTTTTGCAATTCTTTGTATAAGTCTCGTTTGGTTCCTGTGTTGTGCATGCTAAGCACTGATGCTAATTCTTGTGTGACATTAAATTCATCGTCGGCGCCACGGATGAGTACCAGGAGCTGTGATGTGTCACATCATTCCATTCATCAAGTGCGAGAGAATAAAACTGAAAATTTCTTGCTTGTTTGTAACTCCCAATATCATCAATTCTACGAGCAACAGTATTTTGTGCAGGACTGAGGATTTTGAAAAGATTTTTATCTAGGCGTAACTCTTCCACTTCTTCCATCATACACACTTTGATCAGATCTCCATCGGTGTATGGCGTCCCTTTTTTAGCTAACACATAAGCTACTTTATAACTGGTCCTGATTAAAGCTTTATTGTCAGCTCTTTTCTGTGGAAAATTGGAATCAATTTCTTGCACTAATTCAAATTTTCCGACCGCTGGGTTCCTGTAAATTGTGAATAACTTGGTTTAAGTTTGGCTTCACAGTACCGACGTACATTGTACTCATTCAAAACTGCAACAGTTTCGTGGCACACGACACTAAAGGCTTTATCACCTGCTTGTACAAGGAAATACTTTACGCTACATTCTTCATTAAACAGCGACATTCACTCTCCACTACTATTTTACCTTTTAATTCCATAATTGAAGGGTATATCTGAAATATTTAAAGATTAGAACTGAAATTTTAACAAATTTTGATTTATAAATTGCTACGAGCAATAAAATCCTTAACTTTCAGTGACTGAAAATGAGGATTTATTAGTTTTACTATTCGTAAATATTTCAAGTTGCTGCGGGTCGCCATAAAATCTTGTGGCGGCCGCCAGCAAGATACGAAGTCGCAGCCTCCTGGACCAAGAAAAAGATATGGGGAAACTGTCCGGTATTTTGGGACTCAAACATTGGAACACAAGCACTCACATAGGTCAGAAGAATTCTGCACCGACCCAGCATATTAAAAATTCAAATGATACAGTACATCCCATGGGCTAATGATATGCAAAACCGAAAAATTAAATCCACTGAAACAACAGGAGTTGATGCATAAGCAAACTTCAGCAATTTCGAGAATAAATTTATAATAAGATGGAATAATTAAATCTGCAGCAAAAGATGGAACCCATATCGAGTTGAATTAAGCATTCAGGCAACAATAGCACAGACGCCCACACGTTTTTAAATAAGGGCAACCATCCCTGAGATGTCATGCAAGCATCTTGAGGACCCAAGAAGCTTCATCCTGACACTATGAAGCTCTCCTCAACAGTTTGTAAGCTCTCCTCTTCAGTAAGGAACCACCTGCTCTTCCTGCCTCGTTCTTTTCCATCTGCTGAAAACAGCCACTTGTCATTGTTTATATCTCCATGTAGGTTTTTCTCTCTTTCACAAACACAAGTCTTGAGGACCCATAACAGTGGAGAAAATTAAATATCTCCAAGAAAACAATCTTAAGAGTTCTCCTTGGTGGTGTTTGAAGAGTTTCTTCTCCTAACAACCAACATTTTAAGAATTGTTTTATTTAACTAGAACAAACATTTATACATGATATCAACATACTAAAACAGATTAAGAAATCTTTTCCAGCTCCTCAAAAGCGGTGAACTGAGAATGCAACTAATGTTATCCCTCTGGATGGCCACGCTGAGACACAGAAACAAGAGGGTGTTTTGTATATTTTGACCTCACTGCAAACAATACACTGCTGACGGGCTAATGAGTGTATACTACGTATCTAAGGAACAATGCTTAAAAGCAATCCATGTGTGTTCTTCTATAAATTTAATCTGTGTATTACACTGTATCACTCTACATAAGCACAAAAACATTAGAAGTCATCGTCATCGTCTGGTGGTGGAGCCGCAGCGGCTCTCATTCTGGGCCCTTTGAGTTTAGTTCCCCCGTTAGCCATGGGGATCCCGCCTCCTGCACCTCCCCCGACCTCCGGTGGACCCACAAGGTCCAAGTCGTTGGCGTCGAGGTCGGAGTCGCCGGCACCTTCCAGGTTGAGCTCGGTATCGGAGTCAAGGGATTCAGAGTCGAAGTCGCCCACCATGTTGCCGAAGACCCGACGACCAGCTGAAGGCAGAGACAACATTGTTTATTATACGTCACTTAGTGCAAGGTTCGTCCTCCCTCCAGGTATATGTAATCACCAGAAATAGCAGTAGTAATTTTACAGAGGGGAGTAACAAGGAGTTTTAAGGCAACCTTGCTGTGTTTTAAAGGAAGGAAATAGGCGAGATCTTTGACACTAAATTTACGAAGATTATATTTGTGATAAAACTATGTAGTTTCAGGAGAGAAAGAAAGTGAGATTTAAATTATAATAATTTTTTTTCAGAGTGGATAAATATATAATGGCAACGTTTTTATCAAAAAAATGGATGGGAAGTATTCACTAGCCACACTTTACGTCAGCGGAAATCATGAATATTTTAGTTAAGACAGGATGGTGATGTAAACAAGTGTTACATGAGGGAAGCAACACTGACCGGAAGCCTAAAATTAGAAAAGGTTTATCAGGAAACAGGACCGTTTCCTGACGCGGGTCTTAGTCATATGATGACCCACAACTGAAACTTCTGGTTATCTGACTGAGGCCTTCCGCTGGCTTACGGAAGCTGCAGTCATCCACAACCTAACTTTCCTCACAGAATCAGAAAAGTGTTGGACTTATTTAAGTCACTGGTCTTCCAATATAGTCCGACCGTATTGTTCATAACTCAGTCTCACTATTTCTCTATGTTTTGGACCTGCACTCACTTCCCATAAACTTGCAAGAAGCAAATACACATAAACAGATTTATAGCCAGATTTGAAGCTTTTTTATCCACTTCTCCGATTTATAGGTATAAAAATAAGTTCTTTGTTGCATTATATTGCTTATTTCTGCTTATGTTTCGGTATGAAAACGTTCCATCATCAGAATAAAACACAAAAATATAATAGAAATGGAATTTTAAAACAAACCATACACAAAAATGACTAAAGTGATTTACTCAAACATTAACAAAATGCAAAGTTAAAACTGCTTAAAAAGTTGTAAAATTAGACAACAGCAAGAAACAACAGCTATTTTGTGAGTGTAAACACAGGTGTTGTCAGTGTAAACACAGGTGGTGTCAGTGTAAACACAGATGTTGTCAGTGTAAACACAGGTGTTGTCAGTGTAAACACAGGTGTTGTCAGTGTAAACACAGATGTTGTCAGTGTAAACACAGGTGTTGTCAGTGTAAACACAGGTGTTGTCAGTGTAAACACAGGTGTTGTCAGTGTAAACACAGGTGGTACAAGTGGTAGGTACGGTCCATGATGGTACAAGTGGTAGGTACGGTCCATGATGGTACAAGTGGTAGGAACAGTCCATGATGGTACAAGTGGTAGGTACAGTCCATGATGGTACAAGTGGTAGGTACGGTCCATGATGGTACAAGTGGTAGGTACGGTCCATGATGGTACAAGTGGTAGGTACGGTCCATGATGGTACAAGTGGTAGGTACAGTCCATGATGGTACAAGTGGTAGGTACAGTCCATGATGGTACAAGTGGTAGGTACAGTCCATGATGGTACAAGTGGTAGGTACGGTCCATGATGGTACAAGTGGTAGGTACAGTCCATGATGGTACAAGGGGTAGGTACGGTCCATGATGGTACAAGTGGTAGGTACAGTCCATGATGGTACAAGTGGTAGGTACGGTCCATGATGGTACAAGTGGTAGGTACGGTCCATGATGGTACAAGTGGTAGGTACAGTCCATGATGGTACAAGTGGTAGGTACAGTCCATGATGGTACAAGTGGTAGGTACAGTCCATGATGGTACAAGTGGTAGGTACAGTCCATGATGGTACAAGTGGTAGGTACAGTCCATGATGGTACAAGTGGTAGGTACGGTTCATGATGGTACAAGTGGTAGGTACAGTCCATGATGGTACAAGTGGTAGGTACGGTCCATGATGGTACAAGTGGTAGGTACGGTCCATGATGTACAAGTGGTAGGTACAGTCCATGATGGTACAAGTGGTAGGTACAGTCCATGATGGTACAAGTGGTAGGTACGGTCCATGATGGTACAAGTGGTAGGTACAGTCCATGATGGTACAAGTGGTAGGTACGGTCCATGATGGTACAAGTGGTAGGTACGGTCCATGATGGTACAAGTGGTAGGTACAGTCCATGATGGTACAAGTGGTAGGTACAGTCCATGATGGTACAAGTGGTAGGTACAGTCCATGATGGTACAAGTGGTAGGTACAGTCCATGATGGTACAAGTGGTAGGTACAGTCCATGATGGTACAAGTGGTAGGTACGGTCCATGATGGTACAAGTGGTAGGTACGGTCCATGATGGTACAAGTGGTAGGTACGGTCCATGATGGTACAAGTGGTAGGTACGGTCCATGATGGTACAAGTGGTAGGTACGGTCCATGATGGTACAAGTGGTAGGTACAGTCCATGATGGTCAAGTGGTAGGTACGGTCCATGATGGTACAAGTGGTAGGTACAGTCCATGATGGTACAAGTGGTAGGTACGGTCCATGATGGTACAAGTGGTAGGTACGGTCCATGATGGTACAAGTGGTAGGTACAGTCCATGATGGTACAAGTGGTAGGTACGGTCCATGATGGTACAAGTGGTAGGTACAGTCCATGATGGTACAAGTGGTAGGTACAGTCCATGATGGTACAAGTGGTAGGTACAGTCCATGATGGTACAAGTGGTAGGTACGGTCCATGATGGTACAAGTGGTAGGTACGGTCCATGATGGTACAAGTGGTAGGTACGGTCCATGATGGTACAAGTGGTAGGTACGGTCCATGATGGTACAAGTGGTAGGTACGGTCCATGATGGTACAAGTGGTAGGTACAGTCCATGATGGTACAAGTGGTAGGTACAGTCCATGATGGTACAAGTGGTAGGTACAGTCCATGATGGTACAAGTGGTAGGTACAGTCCATGATGGTACAAGTGGTAGGTACGGTCCATGATGGTACAAGTGCTAGGTACAGTCTATCAAGAAGCCTTAACAGTCAAAATACCGTGACTTGAAGAACACATAACCCGTACATAAGAGACTTTTACTCATGACAACGTCTCGGTCCGACTCGGACCATTAATTAGTCACGCCAGTTAATGGTCAAATACAGACCGAAACGTCGTCCTAAGTTTCATTCTGCTATATGCGGATTATTTCTGCATCTTTCCAGTCTGACTGGAACTTCCAGACACTGTAGTGTGCCTCGTATATTACCCGAATTTCCTTGTATGTATTATTTTGTTTAAGCTGCCTTAAAATATATATAAATCTATTTGCCAAAATTCTAATAATTTATCTGATATATGAACGTGCATTTTTTTTTTATTGGCGTATTTTTTAAGCTGATGAGTCATCGTTATTGTCGAAGTGGAAAAGGCTGATTTAAAGTATATACTGAAAACGATGCTTTCCGTGGAATTTCTCCAGTTGTCCTGGACTTGGGAGGAGAATAGGAAAAATAAGATAATAATATATCTGTTGGTAATGTTAAATGCCTGGCGGCGGGTGTTACTGTTTGACGTGGCCAAAATGAAGAGCCCGTGAGGGTGTAGTACCTCGTGGACCCTGTGAGGGTGTAGTACCTTGTGGAAGACCCCGTGAGGGTGTAGAACCTTGTGGAACACACTGCCAGGGTGTAGCACCTTGTGGAACACACTGCCAGGGTGTAGCACCTTGTGGAACACACTACCAGGGTGTAGCACCTTGTGGAACACACTACCAGGGTGTAGCACCTTGTGGAACACACTACCAGGGTGTAGCACCTTGTGGAACACACTACCAGGGTGTAGCACCTTGTGGAATACACTACCAGAGTATAGCACCTTGTGGAACACACTACCAGGGTGTAGCACCTTGTGGAACACATTACCAGGGTGTAGCACCTTGTGGAACACTACCAGGGTGTAGCACCTTGTGGAACACACTACCAGGGTGTAGCACCTTGTGGAACACACTACCAGGGTGTAGCACCTTGTGGAATACACTACCAGAGTATAGCACCTTGTGGAACACACTACCTGGGTGTAGCACCTTGTGGAACACACTACCAGGGTGTAGCACCTTGTGGAACACACTACCAGGGTGTAGCACCTTGTGGAATGCACTACCAGGGTATAGCACCTTGTGGAACATACTACTTGGGTGTTGCACCTTATGGGACACACTACTAGGGTGTAGCACCTTGTGGAACACTATCGGGGTGTAGCACCCTAGTAGTGTGTTCCACAAGGTGCTTCCCCCTGGTAGTGTGTTCCACAAGGTCCTACACCCTAGTATGTGTTCCACAAGGTCCTACACCCTGGTAGTGTGTTCCACAAGGTCCTACACCCTGGTAGTGTGTTCCACAATGTCCTACACCCTTGTAGTGTGTTCCACAAGGTCCTACACCCTGGTATGTGTTCCACAAGGTCCTACACCCTGGTAGTGTGTTCCACAGTGGCTTCGATGAAGTCATAAGTGTCTCAATCTTCAACTTGTCGGTTTTAAACTATTCATCACAACTGTCGGACACTGCAACATCATGGGATCTTGATACAAAGAATTCTTCAACACTTGTCCTACCTTTGGACGAAGACCTACTTCGACTAGTGGAATGGTACCACTATGACCCCGCCTCCTCCTGCTTCCACTCACCTGACTACAGTATATAAGCCACCTTTATGACCCTGTACTGTACTTCCTACATGACTGATGGACTGAACACATCGATTCCAGGCTGAGGGACTGATTACCCCAAACTCCTCCTCTCCTTACACCTTTCTACTTGTATTGGACTGATGAAGTCACTGTGTGGCGAAACGTTTCTTCAGTAAAGATTCCCAATTGTTACATAAGTGTCTCAATCTTCGACTTGTCGTGTTTCACACTTAATCGTTCTTACAATATATGAGCAGGAAACAGAGGACATACAACAGTAATGAGGGTCTTTTTTAGCGCAGTCCTGCAAGCCGGTTTTAATTCCTTTGTACACTTGTGCAACTTTCATCTTGTCGGTATTGTAAATCTGTCTTGCACATTTCCTTTGTATATCAAATATTGTCAACCACACAGAATTAACATTCACTGCTATTTCTTCCCTGCCGAGTGAAATCCTGTTATCGTAAACTATCTCTTCTTTTATACGGAAAGTTATCGGAATTTATCATTTTCCTCCGTGTTTATATATATAATGCTAATGTCCATGCCACATCTTTATGTATTCTGCTTATTATTTGCATATTGACGGTCGATACTTCTTTACCGCTTATAGTGCTTCAACAAGAGTACGAGTTACACTCGTACGTGTGTAGATGTAGACCCGGCTTTCACTGTTGTCTACACCCGCCTTCACTACGTACAGGAGAGACAATAACAGAAAAAGTAAGGACCCAGCACCGTTCAACCAGGAGGAATGCGTCCTCAAGTACAAGTTCCTCGCAAAAACTCTCACACTCCGCTGCGACGAAGGAAACCCTGAACCAAGACCGTGGGAGTCATCCGTCAGTACCCTCTTCCCGTATACCATGGGATGCCCATGGACACGTCCGGACACCCCTGCGAGACACTTCACACTTTGAACAGTGGATACGCAGACCTTGGTCAAATATAATTAAAGCTGCAGGTCATATGACTAAGACCTGCGTCAAGAAAAACTTCTGCTTCCTGACAAACCTTACCTAACCTAAGCAGGGGAACTAACGAGGCCACTGTGTCACACACTGTAGAAATGTCTATCCGTGCCGTTACTTCAGTATTGTATTTCGAGTACAACCCATCCACAACCTGGTGAGCACCATCTCTGTCTTCCAAGACTCGATATTCGGAGAGCCCCAGTTTAAAATTAAATTTGATGTTCCTCTAAAGAGAAATTACAGTGTCCAAAGACGTCTGCCAATCTTACCGGACCAATATCATTGGCCGTGTTTCCATAACAGTTTACGATGTTTAATTTCCACGTCCGTCCGTCATTAGCGCTTTCTTTGCCATTGCATCCGTCTGCTTAATGCTGCTGATAACCGAGTTCCAGGACGCATTCCACAGCCATCAGGTAGATACTCGCACTACAAAAGTACAGCGGAACCTCTGATCACGACCATAATTCGTTCCAAAACTTTGTCGCTACCCGATCTGGTCGCGACCCGAACCTAATTTCCCAATTGGATTGTATGTACATACGATTAATCCGTTCCAGACCCCTACGAACTGTATGTAAATATTGTTTTTTAAGATTTTTAAGCGCAAAAATAGTTAATTATACCACAGAATCCACAGTGTAATATAAACTAAATGTAAAAACCTTGAATAATACTGAGAAAACCTTGAACAACAGAGAAAACTAACATTACACGAGTCCTAAAAGTTTGAAGGGGTGTCTAATGCCTGAGCAATGAACTCCGTTATTTGTTGTACGCCACAGTGTACAACAGTGTCTTGGTCAGTGACAGGCACCTACCAAGATAATGGCACAGTGTACAACAGTGTCTTGGTCAGTGACAGGCACCTACCAAGATAATGGCACAGTGTACAACAGTGTCTTGGTCAGTGACAGGCACCTACCAAGATAATGCCACAGTGTACAACAATGTCTTGGTCAGTGACAGGCACCTACCAAGATAATGCCACAGCGTACAACAGTGTCTTGGTCAGTGACAGGCACCTACCAAGATAGTGCCACAGTGTACAACAGTGTCTTGGTCAGTGACAGACACGTATCAAGATAATGCCACAGTGTACAACAGTGTCTTGGTCAGTGACAGGCACCTACCAAGATAATGCCACAGTGTACAACAGTGTCTTGGTCAGTGACAGGCACCTACCAAGATAGTGCCACAGTGTACAACAGTGTCTTGGTCAGTGACAGACACGTATCAAGATAATGCCACAGTGTACAACAGTGTCTTGGTCAGTGACAGGCACCTACCAAGACAATGCCACAGTGTACAACAGTGTCTTGGTCAGTGACAGGCACCTACCAAGATAATGCCACAGTGTACAACAGTGTCTTGGTCAGTGACAGGCACCTACCAAGATAATGCCACAGTGTACAACAATGTCTTGGTCAGTGACAGGCACCTACCAAGATAATGCAACAGCGTACAACAGTGTCTTGGTCAGTGACAGGCACCTACCAAGATAATGCCACAGTGTACAACAGTGTCTTGGTCAGTGACAGGCACCTACCAAGATAATAATAATAAACTTATTTCTTTTCTGCAGTATACAGGTCACGTAGTTTACAAGTAACAAAATACAGCCAGACACAAAAGCCGCTAGGATGCTGTGCCTCCCATACTTCTCGTTCCCACAGAGACAGACACACTACCCAGGTTACTACACAGTAAGTGCTTGATCAGTGGAACATATCATTATGGTGTTGTTCTTTTGTGACATACAGTGTCTGTTATATAAGTAACTGGGTAAATGGTTGGTTTAGAGAAGGACCTGCCTTGTATAGACCATTAGGCCTGTTGCAGTGTTCCTCCATGCTTGACCGTCTTATTCAACATAAAACCCACACCTTCCATTATACCTTACTGTGAATATGTAGTATAAGAGTTAAATAATATTCTAACGTTAGCATGATATTGGCAGTCTTGTCAAGTTGCAGGTGTGAGCAACGAGGTGACAGGTGTGGTGCGGGGCGCATCTGCGCGCATTCCACAGAAATCCAACGTGACGTTAAGTATACGGTGTACTGTACACGAATAAATTACACAAGCATTTACAACGAGTACAACTAATGCCATTAACGTGTCTTCTAGCCAGCGTTCACGTAAATGTCTGCTGAAAGTTAATAGTGCAACCGATGCATTTCAAACGTACTTGTGCGAGCAACTTACCAAATATAATTCTTGCACACACATAAATAAATTATATATATATATATATATATATATATATATATATATATATATATATATATATATATATATATATATATATATATATATATATATATATATATATATTTCTACTGAAAAGAACAACTCTGAATTTACTTTCATTTTTGTTTCCTGAGAGAGGTGCTGGTGTCCCGTCGACAAGTGGCGTTGTGCTGACACCTAAACAGCAGAAATGCTGAGATGAGGTTTGTTATCTGTTAGCAGACACTCATGTCTAGCAGATGAGACTAGCCAGTCATGTCTAGCAGACGAGACTAGCCAGTCTTATCTAGCAGACGAGACTAGTCAGTCATGTCTTGTAAACTAGACTAGCCATTCATGTCTAGCAGACGAGACTAGCCAGTCTTATCTAGCAGACGAGACTAGTCAGTCATGTCTTGTAAACTAGACTAGCCATTCATGTCTAGCAGACGAGACTAGCCAGTCTTATCTAGCAGACGAGACTAGTCAGTCATGTCTTGTAAACTAGACTAACCATTCATGTCTAGCAGATGAGACTAGCCAGTCATGTCTAGCAGACGAGACTAGCCAGTCTTATCTAGCAGACGAGACTAGTCAGTCATGTCTTGTAAACTAGACTAGCCATTCATGTCTAGCAGACGAGACTAGCCAGTCATGTCTAGCAAACTAGACTAACCAGTCATGTCCAGAAGATAAAAACACGTTTAACACACAATACATCATGTTCACCAAACAGAAATGGTCATGTTCACTAGATACACTCGTCATGTTCATCTGGCAAATTTGTTAACACACAACCCTACACTATGTGTGTGTGTGTGTGTGTGTGTGTGTGTGTGTGTGTGTGTGTGTGTGTGAACTTAGTTGTGGTTGCAGGAGTCGAGTCACAGCTCCTGGCCCCGCCTCTTCACTGGTCGCTACTAGGTCACTCTTCCTGCTAAATGAACTTTATCATACCTCTTCTTAAAGCTATGTATGGATCCTGCCTCCAGTACATCACTTCCCAGACTATTCCACTTCCTGACAACTCTATGACTGAGGTGTGTGTGTGTGTGTGTGTGTGTGTGTGTGTGTGTGTGTGTGTGTGTGTGTGTGTGTGTGTGTGTGTGTGTGTGTGTGTGTGTGTGTGTGTGCGTCCCAAACTTTTCGCTTGTGTCAGAGACCATCATCTGTTGCATGACGCTATCATAACTATCTATACTCTTCTTACTCTTCACAGTTATCATTATCATCACCATCTCTTATCATCTTCCATCACGAGATCATTATCAGCATTATCTCACTCGCATCATCACCCTCACTATAATATTCACCATCACTACGTACCTTTCCCAGCACTTTTCTTCGCCACCTTCTCGACGGTCGTCTCCTTCCCGATGTTCTTCAGCAGCGCCTCACCTTCATCATCATCGTCATCATCATCGTCATCATCATCGTCGTCGGTGTCGTCGTCACCAGCGCCACCCAGTCTCACCTCCTCAGTTCGTAACCTCTCCAGCATTTTACGAGTAGACGACTGCAACACCAAACCCGCCCGGGCCACCCAGTATTATTATTATTATTATTATTATTATTATTATTATTATTATTATTATTATTATTATTATTATTATTATTATTATTATTACTATTTATTAATATTATTATAAATATATGCGGTATAAAATAATGCTTAAAGGCTACTTAAGTATGAATACGTAAGCGCTAAAGTATTAAGGTCCATGTAGCGCCTGGGGAATGGTAGGCAAGTAGGTTTGGTCAAAGGAAGGTTAGCTCCAGTGCATTGGATCAAGCGTCCATCACTGGAAGGGTAGGGAAGGCAGCAGGGTTGTGTTACCTCATAAGATTAACCACATCTTGCAGAATGACCTGGCAACAATACTTGCAACAGTGTGTGGAAACCTGAGATATGAAAACTGAGCATAAGAATGGGCTCGAACCCGCGCACTCTGCGTCAGAGTGCACAGCAATATGTTGCTACAGTAAAATGTTGCAATAGTTGCAATTGTGTCCCTTTTACCCACCATATTGTTAGTAATTCTACCAACATTAATACACAGTACTTGTACCACTTAATGTACCTTGATACAGAGTGTGCAGGTTCGAATCCTGCTGCGGACTGAGAGGTAATTTTTGTAAATAATTTCACCCGTTTGCGAATTATTAGTCATACGAATGGAGGAACACTGCAGCAGGCCTACTGGCCCATATAAGGCACGTCTTTCTCAAAACCAACCATTCCCTTCCACCTACTTGCCAGACCTCTTCCCTAAGCTAACCTAAACAAAATGCGCCTGAATCAACAACATACAACAACAACATGGCCCATTGAAGCCTCTAGAAGGAAGATCCTTGATGCCGCTGAGGAGCACATGATCCACAGAATTGGGTCAGACCTCCTTTTACTTAAGTCGAAGTTGATTACCTCCTCTTCCTCCATACGGGCTTAGCGTTTCTTTCATTATTGAAATAACAATGGTCCCTCCAACTACCCGACATCTCAACTCTGCTGTACAACCAAGTCGTAATATAACTTGAAATGATTGTAGCTACAATCAACTGTCTCATGAGTAAAGGAGGACGTAGGGGGACCTGAAGCAATGTAACATAAGAATGTAGAAGCAGCCATGTGAGGAGAGCTTCTCTCTACCATCTTCCCTTCATAACTTCGGGACTGGAGGCAGAAGTCTCTTTAGCCGCCTGAATAACAAGCCTGACCCACCTATATGTATCCTCTTGCAACTTGTTCAAGGATTTTATCAGTTGCTTTTCTCGTGGCGGCGTGAAGCTGACCAATTTCATCAGATAACAAACTCAGATAATGATTAAACTATATGACCGAAAGATGTGAAACCGTTCAAGTAGGTGTCCCGTAGCTCAGTTGGCAGCGCACTCAACTCACACACTGAGGTCTGTGGTTCGATTCCCGGTACGAGTGAAAACATTGGGTGTGTTTCCTTAAGTCCGTAAAAGCAGAGGTAATATAATCCGGCAGTGTCTTGTGCAAGATGGACAAACTGTGTTCAGGAAAACATCCTCGGGTAAGAGATATGACGTATCCAGTGAACAGAACTTGCTCAAGTTCCTTCATGATTCAGGTTTAACCCAGACAAAGTAAACAAAAAAGATGGACGGGAGGATCGAACCGTGGTCCTGGGATTATCAGATCCAGCGCACTACCACTGTTAATCCCGAGACCAAGGTTCGAGCCTTCCGTCCATCTTTCTGTTTATTCATTTACAATCGTTTATTAGGAGTTAGTCTGAGCTCAGAGACAGGATAAGTTTAGAGTATAAATCTTAAAGTTCCACGTACAGTTAAACGTACGTAGATCTCTGTTAGCCAGCAACTTGGCAAGTGATATTAGTAGTAAGAGTGAACAGGGTAAGTTGCTCATCATGGTAACGGTGAATAGAGTCAGCCTATCATGGTAACAGTGAACAAGATCAGTCTCTGATCATGGTAACAGTGAACACTCAGCCTCTGATCATGGTAACAATGAACACTCAACCTCTGATCATGGTAACAGTGAACTCTCAACTTCTGATCATGGTAACAGTGAACACTCAACCTCTGGTCATGGTAACAGTGAACACTCAGCCTCTGATCATGGTAACAGTGAACAAGATCAGTCTTTGATCATGGTAACAGCGAACACTCAACCTCTGATCATGGTAACAGTGAACACTCAACCTCTGATCATGGTAACAGTGAACACTCAGTTTGCTGTACCAGCATCAAGATAAGTGAGAATCAACGGATATGGAAATTCACCACAGCCGCGGGGCATCATGTACCCAGCCGCTGCTGGCTAGTACGTGCAGGATAAAATGGTGAATTTAAGAATGATGGATTTTTCCTTTTCGTCTAGGAGGGAAGGTAACACTGAAGAATAGGTGTGATCCTGAGGGAGCCTGGGGGATCCTGAGGGAGCCTGGGTGAGCTTGAGGGAGCATAGGTGATCCTGAGGGATCCTGGGGGATCCTGAGGGAGCATGGGGGATCCTAAGGGAGCCTGGGGGATACTGAAGGAGCATGGGTGAGTCTGAGGGAGCCTGGGTGAGCCTGAGGGAGCCTGGGGGATCCTGAGGGAGCCTGGAAGATCCTGAGGGAGCCTGGGGGATCCTGAGGGAGCCTGGAAGATCCTGAGGGAGCCTGGGGGATCCTGAGGGAGCATGGGGGATCCTAAGGGAGCCTGGGGGATACTGAGGGAGCCTGGGTGATCCTGAGGGAGCCTGGGTGAGCCTGAGGGAGGCTGGGGGATCCTGAGGGAGCCTGGAAGATCCTGAGGGAGCCTGGGGAATACTGAGGGAGCCTGGGAATCCTGAGAGAGCCTGGAAGATCCTGAGGGAGCCTGGGGGATCCTGAGGGAGCCTGGGGCATCCTGAGGGAGCCTGGGGCATCCTGAGGGAGCCTGGGTGAAATTGAGGGAGCCTGGGAATCCTGAGGGAGCCTGGAAGATCCTGAGGGATCCTGGGGGATCCTGAGGGAGCCTGGGGCATCCTGAGGGAGCCTGGGTAAAATTGAGGGAGCCTGGGAGATCATGAGGGTGTCTGGGAGATCCTGAAGGAGGCTGGGGGATCCTGAGGGAGCCTGGGTGATCCTGAGGGAGTCTGGGTGATACTGAGGGAGCCTGGGGATCCTGAGGGAGCCTGGGTGACCTTCAGAGAGCCTGGGAGATCCTGAGGGAGTCTGGGAGATCCTGAGGGAGCCTGGGGGATCCTGAGGGAGTCTGGGTGATCCTGAGGGAGCCTGGGTGATCCTGAGGGAGCCTGGGTGATCCTGAGGGAGCCTGGGTGATCCTGGGGGAGTCTGGGTGATCCTAAGGGAGCCTGGGTGACCCTGACGGAGCCTGGGGGATCCTGTGGGAGCCTGGGTGAGTCTGAGGGAGTCCGGGGGAACATGAGGGAACCTGGGTGATCCTGAGAGAGCCTGGGTGAGCATGAAGGAGCATGGGTGACAATGAGGGAGCCTGGAGGACCCTGAGGGAGCCTGGGGGATCCTAAGGGAGACTGCGGGATCCTGAGGGAGCCTGGGTGATCCTGAGCGAGCCTGGGTGAGCCTGGGGGAACATGGGTGAGTCTGAGAGAGCCTGGGGGATCCTGAGGGAGCCTGGGTGAGCCTGAGGGAGCCTGGTGGATCCTGAGGAAGCCTGGGTGAGCCTGGGTGAGCCTGAGGGATCCTGAGGGATCCTGAGGGAGCCTGGGAGATCCTGGGGGAGCCTGGGAGCCTGAGGGAGCCCGGGGGATCCTGAGGAAGCCTGGAGATATTTAGGGAGCCTAGGGGATATCCTGAGGGAGCCTGGGGGATCCTGAGGGAGTCTGGGTGAGCCTGAGGGAGCCTGGGGGATCCTGAGGGAGTCTGGGGGATCCTGAGGGGCCTGGGGGATCCTGAGGGAGCCTGGATGAGCCTGAGGGAGCCAGGGAGATCTTGAGGCAGCCTGGGGGATCCTGAGGGAGCGTGGGTGATCCTGAGGGAGCCTGGGGATCCTGAGGGAGCCTGAAGAATCCTGAAAGAGCCTTGGGGATCCTGAGGGAGCCTGGATGATCCTGAGGGATCCTGGGTGAGCCTGAGGGAGCCTAGGTGATCCTGAGGGAGTCTGGGGGATCCTGAGGAAGCCTGGGGGATCCTGAGGGAGCCTGGGTGAGCCTGAGGGAGCCTGGTGGATCCTGAGGAAGCCTGGGTGAGCCTGGGTGAGCCTGAGGGATCCTGAGGGAGCTGGGGATCCTGAGGGAGCCTGGGGATCCTGAGGGAGCCTGAAGAATGCTGAAAGAGCCTCGGGGATCCTGAGGGAGCCTGGATGATCCTGAGGGATCCTGGGTGAGCCTGAGGGAGCCTAGGTGATCCTGAGGGAGTCTGGGGGATCCTGAGGAAGCCTGGGGGATCCTGAGGGAGCCTGGGTGAGCCTGAGGGAGCCTGGTGGATCCTGAGGAAGCCTGGGTGAGCCTGGGTGAGCCTGAGGGATCCTGAGGGATCCTGAGGGAGCCTGGGAGATCCTGGGGGAGCCTGGGAGCCTGAGGGAGCCCGGGGGATCCTGAGGAAGCCTGGAGATATTTAGGGAGCCTAGGGGATATCCTGAGGGAGCCTGGGGGATCCTGAGGGAGTCTGGGTGAGCCTGAGGGAGCCTGGGGGATCCTGAGGGAGCCTGGGTGAACATGGGGGAGTCTGAGGGAGCCTGAGGGATCCTGAGGGAGCCTGGGAGATCCTGAGGGAGCCTGGGTGAGCCTGAGGGAGCCTGGGTGATCCTGAGGGAGCCTGAGTGAGCCTGACGGAGCCTAGGTGATCCTGAGGGAGTCTGGGGGATTCTGAGGGAGCCTGGGTGATCCTGAGGGAGCCTGGGTGAGCCTGAGGGAGCCTGGTGGATTCTGAGGGAGCCTGGGTGAGCCTGAGGGAGCCTGGTGGATCCTGAGGGAGTCTGGGTGAGCCTGAGGGATCCTGCGGGATCCTGAGGGAGCCTGGGAGATCCTGAGGGAGCCTGGGTGAGCTTGAGGGAGCCCGGGGGATCCTGAGGGAGCCT